GGCCAAGATGTGCTTTCTTCACTACACTATGCACCTCAGATTCACCCTTCTACAATTCCATACCTTTGTGAGAACATACCAATCCTTTCTGAAGAATGATCTCTTTCTTGTGTCCCTTGCTACATTTCAAAATACAAGATTGTAAGCCAAGCAGAGACAAAGAGAGTATTAATATAAGTATTAACTTTTTACAAATGTGCCCTTGTTTAATTTATCTCCTTTTATATCCCCAAGTACACACATGGTGATTTTCTATTTTATTTTTATGAAAATCAATGATTCAGATAAACCTGATACCACCACCACCTGCACGTCCGATTTTGTACAAACAAGCAATGAAGTTTTAGGTGAATTGAATGGCATGTTTCTCTTCATCAAATATGCCATTCATTCTCAATCGTGTGTCTTAAGGTTGATTGCCTTAAGGCTGTGAACTCGAATTACATAATACATTACACACTTACTAGTACCTGGATGTACTTTTTCCATCACCTGATTAATGAAAATCATACTTAAAACTAAGACATTACACACTTACACACTTACAATGGCTGCAATGAAACGTCTTGAAATCTATCATCTGATTAATGAATCATACTTAAAACTAATTCTAATATCTTTAAACTTAGAGTGAATTACATTTTAGGTCTCTTGAGTATAGTTTATTTTTGAAATTTTGGTCCTAAAAAGTTTTTGTTCACTAACACCATCTAGAAGATATTGGTCAGCAGCTCTAAGGAGATCCTGCGCTATTCTTAAATCCACTTCCACTGATCCAGTGTAAATGCACCTAATCATTTTCTCAAATGTCTCCCAATATCTTTTGCATCTCTCTCCTAGAATGCAACCAAACCGCCACATTCATCATCATCATTCATAAACACATATGATACTATATGTTTCTTGTTTGATACTAACCCTATAACCACCATCAAACATTCCCGAAAGCATCAGAAGAAGCAAGCAGGCAGATTATGTGAGCATAAAACCTTTTGCCTAATATCATACCAAATAAATAAACTGCCAGCCACATCCGTTACTTAATTTTTACTTTTTTAAAAAACATATCATATATCATATGTGTACCTTCAATCATTAAAGTTACATCAGAAAGTGTAGGGTATTTCACATACTGCTCACCCAAATATACCTGCAATGCAAAATTACAAATGCAACAACAATTATTACATCAACAAGTGTATGCTTGCTTGGAATTTATTAACTAAAAGAGTAAATTGCTGATTTTTTTTAATTCCCAAAAAGTTCTATTAGAATTTTGGTCCATACATGTTTCAAGTAAAATGACTTTCTAGGACCAAATATACAAAATTCAGCTACTCGTAGGGGCCAAAGATAGTTATTTACTTGGAACAGTAAGCACCACAAGCAAAGACCAAAACCGAAAGCTCAGGAACCAAAAATGTAATTTACTCTAAGAAAAAAAAACGGTTTCAGGGGCCAAAGATACTCATTTACTTGGAACAGTAAGAACCACAAGCAAAGATCAAAATCGAAAGCTCAGGGGCCAAAGATATTATTTTTAATTATAATTTGTTGTTAATGAAATTTTGGATATATTAGATCAACTTTCAGACCATTGATGCAAATCTCAGCTGCCTTTCCTCAATCTGCCACTCCTTGATGATATCCGGTTGTCCATCCGATCCAACAGAGAGCGATACTGATGACAATTGACTTTTCAAATCATAAAAACAACATTGGAATCTAAATAACTATAAGAAAAACCATCAGACTGAATGGATGATGATGTATGTTTGGATACATAAAGTCTATTTCTTTTCTGTTTTACCCTTACATACGAAAAAACAAATTTCACATGTGAGGGTGGAAAAAAGAAGGTTAAAGGGGTTGGTGTCTTAATACACTAACTCGGCTTAACACATGAGGCCATTTGGTCCATATTAAGTCAAACAGAAACAGCCCCTAAGTTTTAATATAACAAAATTCATTAAACAACTACAAGTATCATAACAAAAAGTAGCATACCTTTTGTTCCATAACCTGCTGTAACCCTTAAAAGGCCACCAAGATCAATGCACCCATTAGCATCCATGCAATTGCAGCACCAAATCCTGGAAATATTTATTTATTAATCAGTAATCACACCTCTTTAATAATTAGTATGTAATCTACTAACGATGATATGCATATCCAGTAATCTGCTACAAAACTTCGTATCCACCCTGTAACAATTTTATAATCAGATCCCATAAAATTAAAATAAAAGACCACAAGAAGAAAATATTTTAAATACTTATTAATTATTTATCATTTACCTGAAGTATTACAGTCCAACAAGGAAAAAGAAGTCCACACTTTGGAGAAATCGCCTCATCCAGGTCTAGGACTCCCTGTTACAAACATTATATTTAAAAAGTAAGGGCAAATTTGTAAAAATCAGGGCCTATCAAATAAATGAATAAATATTATAATTAGCATTGCTAGAGACAAAACATAAACATCATAAGGTGAAACTATTAACAGATTTGGGTTTAGGGTTTTGATCAAAATTAAGATTGAGGAATTCAGAAAACTTGGCACATACCTGCTAAATCAGCCAGGAGAGCACGAGCGGGGCCCTGAAATTATTAAAACTGTTACTTGAATTTAAAATAATGGTTTAAAACACAAGTTTTTTTTAAAAAATGATCTTTTTATAAATTGTTACATGAATGGTGTTATTAGCAAGATCCAACATCCAGAAACCTATGATGAAAACAAAAGTTGCCCTTGTTAGTGTACCTTTATTCATATGATAAATCAAAATCAAAAGGCTAAATCAAATACCATTATTGCTACTTTTGAGAATGGATCAGTGGAGGTGGATTTGAGAATAGCCCAGGATCTCCTTGGAGCTGCCGACCAATATCTTCTATAATAGGATAAAAGTGGTTTGAGAATCAAAATGCTTCTTTTGAGCTTTTGTTCACTAGCACCATTAGAACCTGAAGTTGTAATAACATGACCTGCAATCAAATAAGTAAATCAAGAAATGAAACAATAAAAAGGATACTGAATAAAAATAAAAAATACATATATTGAATAAAAAGGACCAAATAACATGAGGAAGTAAGTCGATAATCAGAAAATGAATATTCTTTGTCACATATATTGAATAAAAATTAAAAATTTTGTTTTAAGCATTTTACCGAACAGTTGGTGTGCAATATATATATATATATATATATATATATATATATATATATATATATATATATATATATATATATATATATATATTGGACATTACTGAAGTGGATTGACAAATAAATGAGAAAATATGACCATTTTTGTGTAAAGTGAGGACGTAACAAAAATGTGAAACTGCAACAGGTGACAGACCTTACTATTTGAACCTGGTGAACATGATAGAAGGCGTTATCCAAACAGCAACGATGGTGGTGTGGTTGAATGCCGACAATAAATAGTTCACTGAAAAAACTGGGTTAACTTTATCTCAGATGATTGTTAAACCCACTAGACCCTAAAGGAATTATCACAATGGAAAGAACATCAACAGATAATGTGTTTTTTCCCAATAAACCTTAAATAACACATGTCTATATGGCTTTAGAGAAAGGATAACAATACCTGAAGAAAAAACGGAGAGCTTAAGAAGTTGACTTCCCATAAACAAACAGGTATCCCAAGGAAGACCCTCCACTTGGTCATGCTCAAATCACTTACCGCCTGAAATGTTAAAAAAAATTGCCAGAAACTTGATAAAAGAAAGTCATAAAATTTGTCCTTGGATGTAAAAATTAACATCGCATCTAGTCTTCAAAACAGCTATTTAGAAAAAAAAAAAAAAATTAATTCCAATAGCCACAAGTTATCCATATCTTCCTATGTGGTGAAGGGGAACACAACACCTATTTTCTACAAAATACAAATTAAAGTTACATACTCAATCAATAATTAAACTTTCCTAAGATGCATAGACCTTAAATTCATGATGGGGAACACCAAAGTCATAATTCCTTTCACAAAAGTTGTCGAATTAAGAAAATTAGATAGGGTTTCGTTTTGTGATTGGTATCCATTGAAGAAAATATAGGTACCTCTTCAGGATTGGGAACCATACCTTGATTTATGGGAAAAAAAAAGTTGAAGCTTGATTCAACAACCAAAACAAATCCTTAGAAGATGATGGTGCTGTTCTGGTGTTGAAGGTGGAAGTGGTTGTCTGATGGTGGGCAAATCGAAACCCACTCTCGAACTCTCTCCTAATTTTAACGTGCCCTCAATAAAAAAAAACTTCAATGCTTCAGAATCGTAATTGTCACTCTGCTTAAAAACCCTAAAAATTCCCATCGCCGATTTTTATAATGAAAATCTGAAGATGATCAGACGGGGGTGGTTCAAAGGGATTAGGCGGTCGACTCAGCCTCCCACCTTCATTACTCCCCAATCAACCTTCGTCTGTAGTTAACTTCACCGGAGCAGTTGTCTGCAATATTTAAGGCATGAAATCGATCTTCATTGAGGTGAGACGGTGAGAAAGAAAATTTTAAGCCTGAGTTGCCAATAAAAAGATGGAAAATTGAGGTGCTTATCTGATGGAACTCCGTTTTGCTATAAAGAGACAATTGTTGTGATAATCAAAGATGGAGAGAAGAGGGTCGAAGGTACATGATAAGCAGAAATGAGATACTACAATCGATTTGAAGATGAAAATAATAGGGTGGAAGCTTGGCCGCTGGAGAAGTACCTGTGGTCAACGGAAAAGGTGAGGAACGAGATGTTGTATGAGACCGATAAGAAGGAGGTCAGGAGTAGCGGGTAAGTGGATCGGAGAGGAGAGAGAAGGAGGGAGAGGGGAGCGTCGATTGGGAAGATGAAAGATAGAAAGAAGGTAGAAGGCGGGTTTTCAAACTTTTGGGGATTTCGTTTCCCCCTGTCTACTTCCTAAACGCGCATTTCATTATAATTATAAAGCGACACTTATAGAGGGTGCGTACTTAAGATACAGCACCCTCCGTGTTTTTAATTTTTTTTCTTATGATACTAATTTAAGGGCGCGCAATAATGCGTGACCTAAATCCTTAAATTTTTTGAAGAGATGTCACTTTTTTAATGTCACTCTCTTTTGCGTAACATAAATTAATGAGTGTCGTGGTTTGCGCGTCGTTAAAGGGCCTTTTTCTTGTAGTGATCAACTATATTTATTCAAAATATGACCAACATGTGTTCGGGAGTAATCATAGCAGGAAATGAATCAAAAAGCCTACCTCATTCTCAAATAAATCTAGGAAACCCAATCCTAAATAACTAAAAATATAATATAGGGATAATCTAAATATGATTTATTTATGCGCTCTCATGCAGTCATTATGGCTTGTTTCCACCACCCCAGTGATCCTTATTTTCTCAGTCAGGGAAATAAAGGATGGCTAGAAGAACCAGGAGAGGAACCTAAAGAGGACCCCGAGGAAGAGGAAGAACAGGAAGAAGAAATCAAAGATAGACCTACAGAACCTATGATAGATGATGGAGTAGAAGAGTCTGGTGACGATAGCGATGATGATTCGGACGCGGAGTCCATAGTCATCATCAATCCACCATTCCCAGTGAGGGTGCCAACTCACCGGATGGGCCGCAATGGCCCTATACCTCCCTGGGGTATCGGTATTTTGAAGTAGAGAAGATAGCAAGGACAGCGACCCCCGTTTGGTATGGCAAGAGAATTCTACGACCTGAGGGATGTCGAGCCCTTCCAGTCATGGTGAGACGATTGAAGGATACTAAATATCTGGTTCGGAGCACTGCCGACCAGATGCACTAGATGTGAATAAGAGTTGTGAGGCTAGAGCATGAAACGCGGGAGGTTATCTGGGAATTTCACATGAGGCAGGTGATGTGGGAGGTCGGACTTCGAGACACGGAGCGACAGGTGGCTCGCCTTCAGGAGTTTCCACTTCCTCAGCACCACCCCCTGGCACATCCCACCATAATTAGGACCAGCCATTTCATTCATTAGTATTATTTTTCGTTCATGTGTTCTATGCTATGTACTATCGACCTTATGTTTTAGTGACTACACTACTCATAGGGTCATCGTTTTATCGGATTTTTACACTAATATGTACTGTATGCCTTCTGGCAAATTTTCATGTATTAAAACGATTATTATGATTGAAAATGCTCTATATTTATTTGTGACATTGTTATCTGTTATGTGTTTTACTTTTTATGTTAATATATGGAATCACTTAGAATACACCAATCGATTTGCCGGGGTCAGTGGCATTCTAACCTTGGAATGCAATATATACTCATCATACCTCTGCTCCATGACAGAATGGAGCCTCAACGACCAAACCGTGGAAACCACGGGACACCAACGCCCCTAGAAATTAGCTCAGTCGCATTCCAAGAAGTAGTGTCCGTTGCGGTCACTACAACACTTGCCCAATTTTGCAATGGAAACAACAAAGAAGGCAACAGACAGGGAACCGGAAGCACGAATCAAGGAACAAACCATGGAACCCTAAGAACTTGAACCGACAAGGATTTCACCAACACCAAGAGCCTCGAAACTTCAATGGGACGGGAGGCATAATAGCCCTAAAGTGATCGATTGAGAAAGTGGAATTAGTTTTTGAAATTTGCAGATGTCCGAATGAGTGTAAGGTCAAGTTTGCGGCCTGCACCTTTGTGGAGGAAACCCTCTCCTGGTGCAATGGTCACATAAAGGCCATGACGCTTCCAGTGGCAAATCTGATACTATGGGAGGAACTTAAGGAGATGTTGTTAGCAGAGTACTATCCCCGAGGGAAATTTCAAAAATTGGAACAAGAGTTGTGGAACCTCACGATTCAAAACTCGGATATTGATGCATATATAACCAGGTTTAGTGAGCTATCTCTTTTGTGTCCCTGAATGATCACATCAGAATGAAAGAAGATCGAGAGATTTATCTGGGGATTGATTGTGCCAATCCAAGTAAACGTCATTGCAGCAAACCCGACCACATAGGATAGCACAAAGAGGCTGGCCAAGAGATTGTATGATCACAGCAGCAAAAAGGGTGCCAAAACACGAGAGGCAGAAGTTAAGAAAGAAGGTTTGAACAAGAAGGGAAAAACAACAAAAGGAAGGGAAATCAAAATCCTCAATCCTCAAAGAAACAACAAACTGTAACTGTACATGCTACTACTCAAGCAGTCACCACACCACATGCTCCAGCCTCATCCACCTCGAGTGCCCCTAGACAGTATTCCGGAAATCTCCCAAAGCGCAACAAATACAATCTCCATCACCACGATGATTTCTGGGAGATGCATTGCACCAGCTATAACTGAAAATGTTATACAACAAGATACTGTAGGACCTATCCTCCACAAAACCAACAATAAGGAAGCAGCAACAACAACAACAACAATGCTAGGGCCAGCCCTACCTGCTATGGGTGTAGGAGAACTGGACATATCCGTTGAAACTGCCCAACATTAAGAGCCAAGGAAACAGACGATCAGGAAGGTTCTTAACTTTGGGACAAGTAGAAGCAGTCCAAGACCCCACTTTTGTCACTGGTACATTTCTACTCAACAACACATATGCATGCATATTGTTTGATAGTGGGATAGAGCAAAATTTTGTGAGTAATAAGTTCAAACATTTACTAAAACAACAACCCCAGAAGCTTAATGAAGCCTTCACGGTGGAAATGGATAATGGAAAGACTCAATCAACTAAGGGTATCTATGTAGGGTGTACACTAACTCTAAACAATCACACCTTCCAAATAAACTTGATGCTCGTAAATATTAGGACTTTTGATGTGATCATCGGTATGGATTGGTTGAGCCCCCATCATGCAGATATTATGTGTCACGAGAAGGTCATTTTCCTTCATCTCCCAAATCACGAAACCCTAATAATATATGGAGATAAACCCGATATAAATCTTTGTCTTATCTCGTGCATCAAGGCACAGAAGTGCTAACACAAGAAGAACTACGCATTCCTCGCTCACGTTGTGGAGAAGACCAAAGAAGAGGTAAGCATACAAGATATGCCAGTGGCATGCAATTTTCCGGATGTATTTCCCAAAGATCATCCAGGAATTCCCCCAGAAAGACAAGTTGAATTTCGAATTGACCTCGCGCCTGGAGCCACTCCAATCGCCAAATCACCCTATAGGTTGGCTCCCACTGAAATGCAAGAGCTATCAAGCCAACTGAGTGAACTCGTGGATAAAAGATTTATAAGACCAATTTTCTTTCAATGGGGAGCTCCAGTCCTTTTTGTTAAAAAGAAATATGGATCCTTTAGGATGTGTATCGACTATAGGGAATTGAACAAGCTCGCTATCAAAAACCAGTATCCACTTCCACGAATCAATGATTTATTTGACCACTTCAATGAGCTATTTATTTCTCCAAGATATATTTGAGATCTAGTTATCACCAAATCGAACTCTGGGAAGAGGATATCCCAAAAACCACCTTTGGAACATGGTACGGACATTACGAATTTGTTGTGATGCCCTTCGGTCTAACAAATGCCCCTGCCACATTTATGGACCTCATGAATCGAGTTTGTCGCCCTTTCTGTGATAACTTCGTAATCGTCTTTATTGACGATATCCTCGTGTACTCACGAAGTAAGGATGGCCATAATCATCAT